TGCAATCTTTTCTAGAAGAGAAGGGCAGTCAATTGAGCCAGTTATGAGTTAAATGATATTTATGAACATCAAATATGGGTAATAAACCATAGGGGTTTAAAAAGCTTTTTACCAAAATATTTTGTAAAAAAGTGGCCACCTGTTTAGAAATTTTAAATCAATTTAATTGGCAAGTTAAATGAAACAAATTAACATGGGTTTGACACCGGGAAAAAATTAATGTAATCTTTATTTCTAAAATACTTTTGAATAGGTACGCCCTTAGTTAAAAGGCTGTCGTTAAATTTAATGGCAGGTTAAATAGAAGTTTACAAATAAAAGTGTTCAATGACAGAAGCTACAGAAAGCTTTTTCTCCTAGATATTTTTGAATAGGGTGGCTACCTGTTCTTCACAGTCAAACGTTACTTAGTTAATTATTAATTTTAACATTAAATCGGAACGGGATCTGAAATATTTACAGCAAATAATTTTAAAGTATTTCACGTTTTAAAAATTTAAGTAAATCGACTTTTTTCATTTATTTTAAATAAAAAGTAACAATTTCGCATTTATATGAAACAAAATTATGTTATGGAACAGAAGCTATTAGGTATAAAATTACATGTGTACAGCAAGTCTTCGAGTCACAAGGAGTTGCTTAAATAAACCTCATTTAAAATTTCATTCAATAACTGTCAACACTTTACTAATACGCGTTGCCATGTTCAATGCATTCTTCAACTTACACCCACCATTTCACTTCTCAATTTAACATGTTGCACTTGCTCACCTACCCCACATCATTTACTTGCATCCACTTTTTCTTGTCTTTTATTACATTATTTTCTTATTTTTGTTTTTTTTTTTTGTTCACTCCTTTCACCAGCATAGCTTTGAAATTTAATTACAGCAACACTTTAATGACATCGATTTGTGACACTTTGCCAACTGAGTGGACAAAGTTGCAACAAACAGCCAATGGCATCAACGTGTATTCACATTTAAAACATTTTGAACACTTAAGCCATTAACATTGACTCTGTTGTCTGACTCGCTTGCAACAAAGTTGCCACATAAAAACTAACTGCTGAGCGTACAAGTTTAACTTTCTGCAATTACATCTACCTACCTACTCTCGTACTTGCACCAAGTGTATGGACGTGCTTTGCATGTACCTAAGTTTGTGCATTTATGCCAATGGGTGAATGCGAATGTGAAAGTGAATGATAAGAGTATTCCTGTCATTATATAGCTTGTTGAACTTTGCTGTGATTTAATTTAAAAATATGCAGTTACATATGTATATACTTATTGTCAATGAGATTGGATGTTCAATATAGTGGTAATTGAAATAATTTATTTAAATATAAAATGTTGCAGAAAATTTTAATACAGAGCCAGGAGGACTGGAAAAGATGTATCGCAAACGTTTTTAATGTTTCTTAATTAAAAATGAAGTAAGTAGTGGAGTATATTTTGCGGGTCGTCTATTTTCGTTCTGATCCGTTGACTATCCAAAGACGGGCTCTAGGTTTTTCCTGGATGAATAAGGGTAGGAAAGACTGGAATATTGTTTTTACGAGGAAGAAGGGTGAGGCAGTAAGACTCGTAGGAATTAATACAGCACGAAAATATAATACCCTGAAGGGTAGGTTTCTGTAGACTTTAGTTGCTAAACATGAATTACTCATAGCACTTAGGATATCGCTTATCGAAGGCGCTTTTTTGTGAATGATGTTGAAAAGCTGCATAAAGAGATGCAACATTTAAGAACCGAAATTCACAATACTA